TTATACACATCGCAATATTTTTGCTAACCCAAGGTCTGGTGTGAAAATGGAATATATCGGTCCACTCCTTCTGGAATCTCTCCCACCGAGGGTCAACATTTTTAATAACCAACACGAGCAAAACATCCAAAACGATTATAAAAACCGGAATGCGCATCCGGTCCTCTTCATATTTTATTATTATTATTTCTACTAACATAAGATCTGATGTGAAGATGGAATATATCAGTTCACTCATTCTTGTACCTCCCCCACAAGGGGTCTACATTTTGAATAACCATAAAGCTCATAAAACACGAAATTAACATCCGATTCCATTCAGACCTAGCACATAACAATATTTTTATTACTGGCCCGCCCTTTGTGGCCAAATACCAAAAGGAGTCGACCGATATATACCAATTTCACACCAAATCTTTGGTTAATAAAAATATTGTGATTTTTGTAATTTGAAGAAAACCAGATGCTCATTTCGGATTTTATGATCGTTTTGGTTATTCAAAAGTTCGACACTTTGTGGGGAGGTACCAGAAAGAATGGTTCGATCTGTACCATCTTTATAACAAACTAGCTGAACCCGGTGCGCGTCGCTACCCCTTTTGATTTTATATGCATTCAAAATTTTATTTACTTTATTTACTTAATTAAAAAAAATATTGCACTACTTTAATGTGTTAATTAACAAAGTCGTTAAAAAAGCAGTGCATATTCGAAGGGTTTGTCCTTTGGATTAATTTATTTCATAGCAAGTACCAAGCGTGCAGAAAACTGCAATTTTTTGAAGTTGAATGGCATTCATATTGCAATTAGTGAATTCGATGTAGCAACATAATTCCCCGTAATAAGCGTATTTCAAATTAATTGTTGTGTTGTTTTTTAGTGTTAGCCTAAGGCGTTGTGGGTAAATGGTTCTTATTAAAATCATATCCCAATCTGATCCGATTTAAATATAATTTTAAAAAATTTTCTTTTACACCAAACTCTTAACTAATTTCCAATTAATTTGTCAAATTTATTATTGTAACCAAATTCCGCCACACATTCTGAATTTCATTGGTATCGGTCATATATATCATGTTTGGTGCATAACATGTATGAAATCGGCCGAAATATATATGTTAGCTATATCCAAACCTCAACTGATTTCAATATAATTTGACAATCAAATCTGAGCGTATTTGAATATAATTTGTCAAATTTATTTTTGTACCAAATTTAGCCACTCATGCCGAATTTCATTGGAATCGGAAATAAGTATCGTGTTTTGTGCATCAAATATGTGAAATCGGCGGAAAATATATATGGGAGCTATATCCAAATCTAAACCGATTTTAATATAATTTGACTAATTTATTATCTAATCAAAATCCCGTTACATATTCCAAATTTCTTTGGAATCGAACATACATATCGTGTATGGTGCATAAAATACATGAAATCGGTCGAAAATATATATGAGAGCTATATCCAAATTTGAACCGATTTTAATATAATTTGACAAATGTATATTTGTTTTAATTTTCGCTACACATTCCAAATTTCATTGAAATTAGAGATACATAGCGTGTTGGTGCATAAAATACATGAAATCGGTCGAAAATATATATGGGAGCTATATCCAAATCTGAACCGATTTCAATATAATTTGGGAAATCAATTTTTTAGATAAAATCTATCACACGTTTCAAATGTCATTGAAATTGGGGATACATAGCGTGTTTGGTGCATCAAATGCTTGAAATCGGCCGAAAATATATATGGGAGCTATATCCAAATCTGAACCGATTTCAATATAATTTGACAAATTTATTTTCGGATTAAATCCCGTCACACATTCCAAATTTCATTGGAATCGAACATTCATATTGTGTTTGAGGCATCAAATGAACGAAATCGGTCGAAAATATATATGGGAGCTATATCTAAATCTGAACCGATTACAATATAATTTGGCAAACTTATTTTTGTTCCAAATTCCGTTACGTATTCCAAATTTGGAGACTGTATCTTCAACCAATCAATAGATATGTACATACAAAATCTAAATTTTTGGGAGGTACCTCCGATTCTGATGCTATATCTCCAGTTCCAAGTGGAAATTCAAAAATGTATATAGCCTATGTTACTTTCAGACGATGTTGCAGTATATATGGAAATTTTCAGGAAAATCTATTCAGCGGTTTTCGAGTCCATAAATTACAAACAAACAAACATACAAACATTTTCCTCTTTTATAGATATAGAAGATAGTGTGTTTATGGAAATATTGAGATGTGCCAAGTCTGAATGGAATCGGACGATAATTTCGTGTTTTAAAAGCTTAATGGTTTCTCAAAATTTTGGCTTTTTGTGGGGGAGATATCAGAAGAAGTTATTTTCTTTTCTTCCGGGCGGAGTAGATCGATATTGTCCATCTTCGATGTCGATCTTAGTTTGATAATAATATTACGATTTACTACGTTTGGATCAAATACTCCCTTCGAGAGTTATCGTGCGCACTAGCAAGCCAGACAGACGGTGAAAAGGATTTGGTCCAAAGAAACCTAGGGTCTAAAACCGTTATTTCGATAGTCATATGGTCGAAGTTATAAACATTTTAAGGACAACCTCACTGATGGTCCTTGATCCATTTTTTCAAGGCTATCCTAAAAAACTCAGATTCAAAATAATTTTTTTTAGAATTTTTTTCGAAAATCGTGAAACTAATACATTTTAATATTGACCCCTGACTGAGAAACGCATAATTTTTTAAGGAATTATTTCAAGAAGTCCTAGAATTTTTGATGAAAATCGTCCTTTTTAGAAAAAATATTAGAGGATCATTTACTTTGAAACCGCAGTATTGAAAAACAAGTAAAAAATATTTAGTTCACCGGGCCGAACTTTTAATTCCATTCACCTTAGGGTAATGGAAACATTACAACCAATTATGACCCACAAAACCAATTTTTAGACATATTCGTGGGAAAATGTGGCAAAAATCATCAAAATACCGAATATCGGAATGTACCGTTATATGGGGGCCATACCAAAACGTGGACATGCAAAGTTTCGCCACCGGAGTTAGAATCCATTATGACCAACAAATACCAACTTTCAGATAAATCCGTGAAAAAGTGTGGCAAAAATCATCAAAATACCGAATATCGGGATGTACCGTTATACCAAAACGTGGACCATTATATCTCATTTTCAATGCCAACCATCCTAGACACAATAAAAATTATTCTGCTAAATTTTGACGCTCTACGTCAAATAATGTGGGCTGTAACGTGATTTTAACAGACACGACAGACAGACTGGCGGACATCGTTAAATCGTCTTAGAATTTTATGTTCATTATGAATATATATACATATTGGGGTCTACGACGAATATTTAGAGATGTTACAAACGGTATGACACCTTTCCAAGGTGGAGGGTATAAAAATTACTTAGGTTTGAAAAATATTATTGAGGAATTATTTTTGAACTATTAATTTTTCATTTTAATAGAAAATCATTTGTGAGCTTGTTTGGACGTACTACCTTCACTCTAAAGCACATGTACCATTTTAACCAGTAAAGAAAGTCTTAAAGTCGGGCGGGGCCGACTTTATGATACCCTACACCACTTTACTAATTTAGTAGAGCTCCACATAACAATTAAAAGTTTTTATGGGAGAATTCAATCATACACGCTTTGATTATAATTATAATTTAAAATTCAAAGGAATAAATATGCCGAAGCATTTGTATCTTTTAAATTCGGACTTGTATTGACCATTTGGTGCACAATTAATTTGAAATCGGATAAATATATATATGGGAGCTATATCCAAATCTGAACCGATCTCGATAAAATTTGGCAAAGATATTTCTGAGCTGTATTTGATATATTTCCCTGAATATCGTTGTTACGGAGTGCATATTATGGTTGTGGGTAACAAATATAACAAATCGGATGAATAATATATATGGAGGCTATAGCTATATCTGAACCGATCTTCACCAAATTTGACATACTAGCTTCTAGACTCAATTCGGTCGTATGTGCCAAATTCCATCCCATTTGGACAAATATTAGACGTTTGGTGCACAATAAAATTTAAATCGGACGAAGTTATATATGGGAGCTATATCCAAATCTGAACCGATCTCGATAAAATTTTGCAAATGTATTTCTGAGCTGTATTTGATATATTTCCCTAAATATTGTTGTTGCAGATTGCATATTACGGCGGCGGTGGACAAAAATAACAAATCGGATGAACAATATATATGGGAGCTTTAGCTATACCTGAACCGATTTCGATCAAATTTGGCATACATATTTTCAGGCCTAATTTGGTTGTATGTGCAAAATTCCATACAATTCGGGCTGATATTACACGTTTGGTGCACAATAAAAGCAAATCGGACGAAGATATATATGGGAGCAATATCTACATTTTGACCGATTATCTCCAATTTCAATAGAGTTCGTCCTTGGGCCAAACAAATGATCTGTGCAAAATTTCATCTGGATCGGGCAATAAATGCGACCTGTACTTTGTTTACAAAAATACATGGTCAGACGGACAGACGGACGGACTGACGGACATACATAAATCGACTCAGAATGTGATTCTATGCAGATCATCAAAAGGAACTATGGGTCTATCTCCTTTCCTTTTGCCTGTTACAAACAAATGCACAAAGACATAATACCCTGACCACCTTGTGGTGTAGGGTATAATAATATTTTGTCCTCGATGATTGATATTTTCTTTGTTACAATTTTAATGTACTGTAATTCGATAAAAAAAAAATTTTGGAATTCTGCTCCCTACCTCTTTTTTTTTTTTGGTGCACTTGATGCTAAGCTCTGCATTCAGTCAAGTCAATGACACTTAAAAAGCATTTCATTATGATTATCATTTTGATAAATCAAAAATGAAAAAACGAACATTTGTTTAATTTATTCAAATCTTTTTTTTTTCAAAATCAATAAATCATTCAGTTCTTTTGAATTCACTGACCTGTCTGGCCATTTTGCTGTACTGTATGGATCAGCTGTTGCCGCTGCCAGATGTTGGCTTGATGTTGGCACGCACAGATTTGACAAGTTTAATGCCGTAGACACGATCTGCTGCTGTTGATCTAAAAATTAGTATTATTTTTAAAACAAATTTTGCTTTGTGATCGGCAATCAAAGACCGATGTATCGTTCGGTAAATATTAATAATGCGGCAAGATGACAATAAACCCCAGCAAATAATTAGAACAAATAAATCATAATAACAAATTGGCTCCACGTAAACATACGATGGCGAACAATAAGGGTCAGTGGGGCATTTTAATAGATATTGAATGCAAATTTGCATACCGATTTGAAAACCTTTATTTGTTAAAGTCAATAAAAGTGAAATGTTCAATTGTTTACGATTCTCATTGAGTTGAAATTCTGAAATTTTCCATAGACGACTTATAAAGTTTCGAAAAATATTGACCATTCACTTAATTAGAATTGTTGACTTGAGAAATAGCTTATCAGCAAAGGGATCTAAATTTGTACCTGAGATTACGGGTGGGTAATTTAAAACTACTCAACATTTAAACGTTCTTCATGAATTTTAAATAGTCCTTAAAAAAGTATTAGTAATAATAACAGGTTAACAATTTTCGGACAGTTTTGCCGACAGATGTATACACTCAGCCAACGGTCGGTTTTTTAAAAAAAATACAGACTTCTGTTACGATTATAAAAAATTTGGATTTGGTTCCGAAGGAATGGGAATATAATACAGGGTTGCCCATATTCGACGGACCCATCTGGCAACGCCATAATTTTTGACAGAGATGTCACATCGCTTAATGACATACCGCGTTTGAAGCGTCAGCCTACGCAGATTTTTAGCATGAACCAGTACACGCCACGCGAGCGCTCTGAAATAGTTGAAATTTACAAGAAGTCAATTGTGAAAACTCAACGTGCCTTTGAAACATTAAAAAATGTGAGAAGTGCGCCTTCTAAGAACACCATTAAGCGCTTATACGAAAAAATTTCGACTGGTAAGGCTCTTTCTAATCCGATCGGCCGAGAATATCGCTGCCGTACGAGCCAGTATTGAGCGGTCCCCAAGAACATCCCAAAAACGCCGTTCTCAGCAGTTTGGCATGGCTCGGTCCACTTTACAACGGATTATTCGCATTGATTTGCATTTGTTCCCGTACAAAATTCAATTGACGCAAAGAATGTTGCCTGCGGACAAGCCTCGTCGATTGGAATGGGCCCAAAGGGACCAAAGATCCGTCGAATATGGGCAACCCTGTATAATATATAATATAATATAAATAGAATAAATATAATATAATATTGCGACGTGCCAGCCTTGGAGAACTTTGGTTCCTTCACTTTGAGATGTGATAATTTTTAGGAAATGTTAAAAATGTCGACCTTTTGTGGAAGAGGTACCAGAAGGAGTGAGCCAATGTATTCCACATTAACACCAAACCTTGGGTTAAAAAAAATATTCGGATGTGGGAAATTTTAAGACAAACGGACTCCTACATCACTTTTTTTAAAAAGTTGTAATTATTCAAAATGTTGACGCTTTGTGAGTGAGGTATTTGATCGAAAGGACCGATGTTGTCTATTTTCGTACTTGACCTAGCACTTACGCAAATATTAGGATTTGCAAAGTTGGAGCAAAATCGGGTTATCGTTTCTATTTCTGTGCAGAAAATACATTTTTTTATTCCCTCCACCTTGGAAAGGCGGGTATATTAACGTTGTCATTCCGTTTGCAACATGTTTAAATATAGTCGTCGTAGACCCATAATGTATATATATTCATAATCAGCGTAAAATTCTAAGTCGATTTAATGATGTCCGTCGGTCTGTCTGTCCGTCTGTATGTCTGTCCGTCTGTCTGTTGAAATCAAATTTGACGTAGAGCGTCAACATTTAGCAGAATAACTTGTATTGTGTCTAGGATGATTGGTATCGGTTTGGTACAGTCCCCATATAACGGTACCTTCCGATATTCGGTATTTTGATGATTTTTGACGCATTTTTTCATGGATCTGTCTAAAAATTGGTATTTGTTGGTCATAATGGGTTCTAGCTGCGGTGGCGAAATATTAAATGTATAAGTCCTTGTTTTGGTATAGCCCCCATATAAGGGTACCTCCCGATATTCGTTATGTTGATGGCTTTTGTCACATTTTTTTCACGGATTTGTCTAAAAATTGGACTTAGTTGGCCATAATAGGTTCTAGCTCCTTTGGCAAAACATTGTATGTATAGGCCCACGTTTTTTGTTAGCCCTCCCGATATTCGTTATTTTGATTATTTTTGCCGAATATGTCTAAAATTTGGTATTTGTGGGTCATAATTGGTTCTAATGTTTCCATTACCCTAAGGTGGAGAGTATTAAAAGTTCGGCCCGGCCGAACTAAATGTTTTTTACTTGCTTTTTGAAAATTTCGACCTTTTGTGGGGAGGTACCGAAAGGAGTGGATTCGACTTTAACATCAGACCTTGGGTTAATAAAATTAGTGGGTTGTGTGAAATTTGCAGACAATCGGACTCTTACATCACAATTTATAAAAGTTATAAATATTCAAAATGTTGGCCCTTTGTGGGGGAGGTACTGGATGGAGTGGACCGATATTGTCCATTTTTGAACCTGACCCAGCACTGACGCAAATATTAAGTTTCGCGAAGTTGGAGGAAAATCGGATTATCCTTTCCCTCTCTCTGTACAGTAAATTATTTTTTTTGGAAAATGTTGACATTTTGTAAGGGAGGTACCAGAAGGTGTGGACCGTTGTTGCCCATCTCCGAAGTCGATCTAAGTTTGACAAGAATATTACCACTCCTCGGAAACTCCCTTCGAGAGTTATCGTGCGCACCAGCCAGCCAGAGAGACAGACAGACGGAGACGGAAGGAGACATCGCTAGATCGACTCCAAATGTCCTGAAACGGATTTGGTTCAAAGAGACCTACGGTCTAAAACCTATATTTCGATGAGGCAACTTTTTGCCGTATCTCTAGCCATATGTCTGAGGTTATAAAAATCATGGGAACTGGTCAATGTTGGTAATTAAATCTAGACAGACAAAAATCTAATTTCTTCTAAATAGTCATAGGACCCAAAATCCCAAAGAAATAACTTCCATTATTCCTTTATTCGAAATAATTCACAATACTATTTCAAATATCTGGCCAATAATTTTGTGTCTGGTCCAGAGTCATAAAACAATTTCTTGGCATGTATTCCATTTAATTGTCCAAAATTAAATTGTATTTCAAAGAGTGTGTTCAGACTATTTTAATAAAAATTTTAAAAATACATATGTGTATGTTTGTATGTATATCCATCTGTAAGTAGGCGCTGAATTTGGAATTCATTCAGAGACATTTGGGTGGGCGTTCAGAAACACAAATTTATTTATTTTTTGCAAAACAGAAATCAAAAACCAAAGACAATGTTTTCGTTTTAAAATAAGAAAAGAGCATTTTCATGATGATGACAACACAATTCAACAACAACAAGAAAGTGGGAATAAAAAATAATAAATAAATAAAAAATGTTAATTCCTCTTCACCCAAAGTAACGTGACATTATTTATTTGAGAGACACGAGTGTTTGTGCCAGGGAGGCACATATAAAGTAAGATCACCTATGGGTTAGTAGTTTTTATAACAATCACCATAGGATAAAAATTGCAAATACAGGGTGAGATAAAAAAAAATGCAACAAAGTCAAACGCCATAATTTTTACATTTTTTTTTAACTTTATTGAACGAAAGTAAAAAATTTCGGAAAAAGCATCAAATTAAAAAAATAGATTTATTCGAATTGGTCACCTTTGGCACGAATTATGGCCTTCACAATGGCCAATGAAACCGTTACACGCTGCCCGAATGTTGCTCTGCAGTATTTTGGCACATTCCCTGCGAAGCGCTTGCTTGAGGTGATCGACATTTTGGTATTCTTTAGTGCTAACCATTGGCCATTGTGCGATGGAAATGAAGCGAGAAACCTCATTTGTAACTATTCTTGGGTGGCGCGTGCTGAGTGCGATGGTAATGAGTCCTGTTGGAATGTCCACGGTCTGTGGCCAAAATGTTTGCGTGTACAAGGCTTGAATACACCCTCCAGAATATTTTCGGGATAATATTCGGCATTTATTCTTTTGCCACGATCGATTAATACGAGAGGAGAGCGACCATCGGCAGTTATGGCGGCCCACACCAACACCATGGCAGGCGCTTGAGTTCTGGTGGCCAACCGAAGGTGCACATTTTCAGTTGACCTCTTTGGCAAGTAAACACGATCATTTTGTTTGTTTACAAATTGCTGGACAACGAATGTTTTCTCATCGGAGAAAACCAAATTTGGCAGTTCACCACTTTCGGCCAAGCGAAGCAACTCTTTAGCTCTTCTAAGTCTATTTTCTTTCGGTTGCGGTGCGAGTTCTTGCACTTTTTGGAATTTCGATTGCTTTATCCCGAGCTAATTTTTCAATATTTGCCGAATGTAATATTGCGATATGTTTAGCTCATGAGCCATTTTTCGGCCACTGCGACGCGGGTTTCAATCAAGTCGCTTCTTTACTTTTCGAACCATTTCTGCCGATGTTGCTGTTTTCTTCCGTCCACTTTCTTAACGTCGGGATTTATTGACATTTAAATACGGGAGTTTCTAGCCAAATATATAGAAACTCCATCACGAATAACTTTTTTTGTGGAAAATTATAATCGGATGAAGAGTATATATGGGAGCTATAGCTATATCTGAACCGATCTTCACCAAATTTGACATAGTAGCTTCTAGATCGTAAGTGCTTCTCGATCGTAAGTGCCAAATTCCATCCCATTTGGACAAATATTAGACGTTTGGTGCAGAATTAAAAGTAAATCGGAGGAAGTTATGTATGGGAGCTATATCCAAATCTGAACCGATCTCGATAAAATTTAGCAAATGTATTTCTAAGCTGTATTTGATATATTTCCCCAAATATTTTTGTTACAGAGTGCAGATTATTGCTGCGGAGGACAAAAATAACAAATCGGATGAACAATATATATGGGAGCTACAGCTACATCTGAACCGATTTCGATCAAATTTGGCATACTTA